GGGGGGGGGGGGGGGTGAGTGTGTCAGGCAGGGAACTTCTCACCTGAATGAGGCCCGAAAAGCCCATGTCCGATGACGATGGCTGTCGAGCCAACAGCCGGAGGGTGCATTTCTACGCCAATGCCCTGAAGTCTCCTTGTAGGGAGCGGCATCAGCTGAAGAAGTGCAACGTCGAGAGGACCCTGCGACACATACACCACTTCTGCTCTATGCCACATGGTTGGCTGTGGGTGATCCACGCGCACCATCACCTTTACATACGAACTCCCAGCCGATGACGTGTTTGTACCAAGGCAGCTCAGGGGTTCAGGCACAAGCTCGGAAAGAGAGGCCCCGGAGGACACTGGACAATCAGCAGAAACCGGTTGAGGACTGGGCAATGACACAGGCATGGCTGTGTCAGAAGGTCCCCCAAATTGGCCTCCTGTTGGTGATGGCAATGAAGACGGCGCAACACTCGGTGGGTCATCCTGTATGTGCAAAAACAAACGGTTCCCACTGCGTTCATCGTCGTTTCCCGAAGCAGCACCACTCGTAAAGGTGGAAACATGTTTCTTGGATACGTGCTGACGGTCTCCGGACGAGGAGGGATCAACACACGTGTGATGGTGTGCAGACGTTTCATTGGAGTTCATCCAAAAGGAGGTATCACGGGTGCTCTTCCTCCTCCCCTTTTTCTCATGCCCAAACCTCCAGGGTTCGAGCAAATGTGCATTTGTCAAAATCAGGCCTTGGCTATTCAAAACAATGCCAGATGCCCAAGAGCCCTCTCCAGCTGTCACCAAGACAATGGACGTAGAAGCTGCTTCTGCCACAGGCACGGTTGCTCTTGGCTCCACACTGAAATCGCGCCCCTGAAAAGACGAAATCGTGCTGTGGAAGACATGGCTGCTGCCATGACCAGTGATAGCTTTTGGGTGAGAAGGGTTATGGTGGAGGCTGGCAGATCCACTGACATCTTGTGAGCGAGTGCCAATGCTCGATGTCCCTTGTTTCGGTGGTGCCTCTCCTCTTTGATGCCATCGCTGGTTCGGCTCTCGTGGCGATTCACGTGGTCTTAGCCCTTCACCAAGTTCCCTCGGCTGCTCTGTATTGGCTGACGACCAACTCGCTGGGTTCAACTGCTGAGTAGCAGCTGGCAAATCCACTGCGCCCATGACGGCTGATGCGAACGGTCTTACTGCTGGAAAAATTGCATCTGCGGTCAGAACAAGCTTTCCACGGCAAGATGGCACACACATGTAACTGTCAGTAAACAGATCAGGAGCTCGAGTCCTGATGGAATCAGATGGACACAATAATGGTAGGGGCTACCTACAAATGGAAGTTTTCCGCAGCAGGAGGTGAACACAGTCCAGGGAAACAAGGCACACCGCATTTCGCTCGTCCATCTCATCGACAAGGAATCCAAACCTGGTAGGTAGACTTACAAAATCAGGGCCTCATGAGCCTCTCCCTGTTCTCTATGCTCGGGAGGATCAGTCCGGTTCAGTTCTGAAGGCAAGTCTCAGACATAGCAAGGATTGACAGATTGAGAGCTCTTTCTCGATTCTCTGGGTGGTGGTGCATGACCGTTCTTAGTTGGTGGAGTGATTTGCTACGGGGGGGAAAAAACAAACAAAGAGAAACCACAATTGTTCGTATCCTTGACCGATTGACATTGTGTGAGACCATGCTAGTCAGAAGTACTCACTTTAGTGTGCTTGGTTAGCCAGGGTTTAGGGTTTAGGCATGATTGGAAGTTTTTTAAGGGAATGCATAGATGATAGCCGCATCATCGTTTTCAGCTCAGAACTTCAGAAGCATAGTTGAAAGCAAATCAGAGTGATGGGAAACGGATTAGAAAAGCCTGCACCTGAACTTCAGCACTTCCAAACCGCGGACGCACAGGCCTGTCCAGCATGCCGACAAAATTCGCATCCTCATCCACAACAGCACCTCCCTCCATCCCTGCACCAGCAACAGGTAGTGGTTGATCGGAAGGGTGGTTGGAGCATTGAGGAGTGGACGCAGCAGCAGTACAAGTACATGAGGGACAACAATATGTATCAGCAGCAACACCACATAGACTCGGTCATACAGTTGCATAGTAGCAACACAGAGAAACGCATAGCAACACATAGAAACCCAGAGCAGCAAAGAGCAACACATAGCAACACATAGCAACACATAGCAACACATAGCGACACATAGCAACACATAGCAACACATAGCAACACATAGCAACATAGCAACACATAGCAACACATAGCAACACATAGCTCCAGAGCAGTGGTTATAGTGCTGCATAGTAGAACTGGAAATACACAGCAGAAGCAGCAGTAGGTTTGAAGTTTGAACGCAGAGCTCCACAGCAGTGGTTATAGTGCTGCACAGGAGAACTGGAAATAGACAGCAGAAGCAGCAGTAGGTTTGAAAAATAGCACCGAGTTTAGGTGTTCAAGTTACATAGCAAAAGCAACACCAAGCAACACAATACACAGCAGTGGTTAGAGTGCTGCATAGTAGCACTGGAAATACACAGCAGAAGCAGCGGTAAATAGCAGGAGTGTAAAAATTGTCAATAGACTCGAATAGAGTTGAATAGACTCAATACATAATAAATGAGAGCTGCAGAAGTTGTGGACGAGCAGGAATACAAGGCAGATACAGAAACACGTTTTGCAAACATCAGCACGAGCAGGAACACAAGGCAGACACAGAAACACGTGTTGCAAACATCAACAGAAGCAGCAATAGCTAGACACAGCAGAGATACACAGCAGAAGAAGTAAGAATACAAGTAAGACAAGTTCCAGCCTTGCCCGTCTTGGTTACCAATATGAGAATATACTAATATAGTAATAATACACACTAGAAACAGAAACACATTGTCCTTCGGGACATCCGTTAAAATTGGAACGATACAGAGAAGATTAGCATGGCCCCTGCGCAAGAATGACACACATAAATCGAGAAATGGTCCAAATAAAAAAAAAAAGAAAAAAAAAAGAAGCACAAACACATGGCAAGCAGCTGCAGCTGCAGCTGCAGCAGCAGCAGCGGTCAGCACCTCTGGGCTACAATGCACATTCATCCTGCAGCATCAATACATAGGCATCCATAATGGGAGTTTGGGTGTTCAAGGTCCATGCCACTAGAAGCCAAGAGCATTCAGTTTCTTTTTGTTCAAACCTTCTGCACCAAGGAATATTATTTTGTCACATGAGGGGTTTGTATTTTGATTACAGGTGTTATCTTATACCAGTCCATTGTCCAATACAAAAAAGATACACACTACTCAAATCATGCACTTGGGTTTTGAACGAAGTAAAGGCAACCCAAGGTTGTGTTGTTGACCAAGTATTGATCGAATTATGTGGACCTACCGTTATATCCATTTGTGGAAACATGGCATGTGTTTCTAGTCATGACACCAAGGCGGCGACGCATCATTACTTCGGAAAAGATCTCTTGCAAGTGCCCGCAAAGCACTGACAGCAATTTGACGCGTAGTGTGGACAGCTTTGTTATGTTTCCAGGAAAAAGATGTTGTTTCTCGAATCCAGAAACCAGTACTACTAAAGTGGCTATACATACCAACGCCTTCCTTTCTCCCAGCTCATGGATCCCACCATAGCAGAGCCGAAGAAAAACTGTCTGCCTCTCGTTCCTTGCAAGCCACCCGAGACTGCAGAAGTCAAGCACCTGGGACTGCACCTGGGAATGCATTTGGGACTGTACCGGGGACTGTACCTGCGACAGTACCTGCGACTGTACCTGGGACTGCACCTGGCACTGTACCTCGGCCCGGCTGGTAGCCTAGCTGGGTAGGGGAAAACATGAAAAAGGAAACGTGCTATAAGTTGTGCTCTGATCTGGCGTGCTGAACCGAAGCGAGTAGTTTAGGGCTTTTTTCGTGCGGCTGGCCGTCATGCGTTTTTCCCTCCTTTTTCGAAGTTCTGACCGCGTTGACGGCTGCCGGCCGACGTCATCAAAAGCGGACATTGACTGGCCCAGGCTATGGATAGCATCATCTTGCCGGCTTGAAGAAGGCGCCCTTCCGGGTGGTAGACAAAGCGATGGGGTGTGGAAAGGTGCCATCACGAGCATGGGGATGCGAGGATCAACTGCGAACGGGGCAACGACGAAGAGCATAGTGGGAGCGCGGGGAAGGAGACGAGGCACTCCGGCAGTCAGAGCGGGATTGAAAGAGTGAGGGAGTAGGAGTGGGGTGGAGCAAGAGGTTAGGAGAGGGGGAGTGAGAATGGGTACGGGATAGAGGAACCAGGGCAGGGGTAAAACTGGGGGGGGGGTCAACTGTAGGCGGAATCCACACAGGCGGAGGAGAGAGTACGCTCTAGAGCTCCTCCTGGTGTACCGAGGATCGCAAAGCACAGTGAATCGTCAAGCGGCCTGGCGGTCCGACTGAACTCATGGATAAGCAAGAAAGTCTTCATAGTAGCGCTCGGTAAGGGGATCTTCCGGTAAGCATGGGGGAAGAGTCGGCTAGTGGAAGCCACGCAACGTGTGAACTACTATTGGGGGGGGTGGGGGAAGGGAAGACAACAGGGAGGGAGTGCAACACGAGCGATGGCACCTGATGCAAATCCTGCGCAAGGCGCACTTACTTCACTGGCCAATTGAAGGGGCGGGGCTGGTGGAATACACAATGACCAACGGTGTCTGCATGACGAGGCCTTCAAATGCAATTATATGTACTTACTACTTACAAAATACGTACGTTAGGGCGCACATGGTGGCCTGCATATTGCCGGATGGGGTGAGCAGCTGGTCGCCTGAGACCAAATGGGAATGGGCGCGGCACATGGAGGAAGCATGGACATTATGCCGAGGGCCGGCGCGAGGGGAGATTGATATGGAGGGCGACATGATCATTACATATCTGGCACCCACCATCGAGCTGAGAGACTGGCTGGTCAATGAGAGGCGAGGGGAGGAGATACAGGCTGCAGGGGCCCAGGGGATGGTGAGAATGATCCCGTGGAAGATGCCAGCAGAAATGCATGTGGAAAGGCTGGCTGAAAGGAAGCGGTGGCCATGGGTTAAGCTCTACAAGCCGTCGCCCCTGGCAGATGTGGATGTGGGTGTCGGTGGAGTACTTTTACGGCCCCATTGCGGACGAACAGGCATTTGACGACGAGGAGCGGGAAAACGTGAGGTATGTAATTCATGGCCCGGCCAGGCCCGCTGAAAAACCCATTAAGAAACAGTATGGCGGTTGCAACAGGGCCACACACCTCCGAGGAGGTCCGGGTGATCACAAGCGAGATCCCCTTCTGCAAGATTTGCTTTACGCACGGCCATCTCGGTATGCCCGGCCGCTGTCTCAGGCAAGCTGAAACTTTGCAGGAACTCCAAGGGAGAGAGGAGAGGAGTGTTATGGACCCCATATTGCAATTGGACCGCGAGGCGGAGCGGACGACATGGCGAGAGCTGGAACTTCAAATGGATGGGCTGGTGCTACAGGAGGCAGGGGTAAGGGCTAGAGAGCCAGGGGGGATGTCCACGGCGAGGGCTGGGGAGAAGCGACACAGAAGAAGATCAAAGAGGGCGAGGGGATATCAACACAGTGTCGTGTGGGAGGGGGGAGGGGACGACCCCATGCAAACTGAAGACTCATATTGGCTGTTTGGAATCGGGAAAACAAGCCGACAACTGGGATAACGAACAGCAGGTACAGAGGGAGGGGAGTGAACGGGTAGACGGGGGCAAGGACGAGCAAGGGGTTGATGAGAAAAGGACGGGCCGGGCGAGGGCAGACCACGAAGTGGGAGAGACAAGTATACAGGAGCCAAGGAAGGGGGGAGGGTGAGGGGGAAGATGAGGCAATCTCATATGAGTCCGGAACACGCCAAGCCCCGGGTAGGCCAGTGTATGATCCATCAATTGTGACAGAGCGGGCCAAACGAGGCCGGTCACCATGGGGATCCAGGCGAAGAGCCAAGCAGTTGACGAAGGGGCCATGTAAGAGCTCCTTGTCAGCGGAATGCTTCCCGGTCCCGACATTTTCGTCAACCATGGCAGAGTCTGCGCGAAGGTCGCATGGCCATCGACGAGAGCTTACACAACAGACGACCTCACGTGAAAGGGAACCTTCCCCCCTGGGAGGAGTGGGACATGAGCCGAGGTATTGGTTCCGAGGGAAGGGCCGCAGGGACATCTCATCGTCGCTGTCACTCTCGGCCTCCCCCATCCCTAGGGATGCAAGCTATGGTCTGCCGGTGGAGGGCCTGGCAACGAGAAGTAGTGGCCACAGGGAGGAGACAAACTCCAGCACATCAGACACATAGGACACCGACAGCTCCGACAGTGGCCCAGTGGCGAAGCAACAGACGGAGGAACAAGAGGGGGAGGACGACGAGGGTGTGGAGGATCAAGAGGAGGAGCAACAATGGATGCCAAGGGAAACTTCTTCGGAGGGCGATTTAGCGCAAGCAAGTGAGGCTAGGACGGGAGACAACCCCGAAGAGGGAAGGACGCCAAGGCAAACTGCTTCGGAGGGCGATTTAGCACAAGATAGTGAGGCTAGAATGGGAGACAGCCCCGGCGAGGGAAGGACGCCAAGGGAAACTGCTTCGGAGGGTGACTCAGCGCAAGGTGGTGGGACTATAACGAGAGACGACCCTGCAGAGGAAAGGGACGATTGACAGCAGCAGGATCCATTGACGGAACTGGCATGGCAAGAGCGGGCCGAGACGGGACTCAAAGCTATACTGCAAGAGGGGGAATGCTACGTCTGCCCCGTCACCTTATGGCGGACGTTGGAGGAATGAAGATGGAGAGGGGAGTGAATGGTACAAGGATATATTATCTTGTAACGTGTCACAGGCTGAGTGAAACCCCCCCAGAAACATAAAGAGTAGGAGACACGGATGGGGAATAGGTGACCAAAAGTCCACAGATAGTATTCCGATAGTGGGAGAACAAACACGAGGGGCCTTTAGAGG